CGGTCGCACTTTAGAGATGTAACTCAACGAATGAGGAGTAGACTGCTATATATATTTTTGTACATATTGAGCATCCTTAGGTCAACCCTTTGTCACCTGCAAAAGCAGCTGCTGGACAAACTCCCATACCCCTACGACATTCCCACATTTAGACTAATTTAATGAGCTACAACATAAATTTTGATGCGAGCGATGACTCCTGCTGTGGCGATCATTAGTTTCGTTAGTATTGGGTTACGAACGATGAACACGCGGTTTATTTCCCGTAAACTCCCAACAATTTTTGAGTTCTTTACGAGCTATCAAAATCACTTGTGGACCACCAGTGGCCCTCAAATCTAATTTCGTTACCAAAACTAAGCCAAGGGTAACAAGATAAGCCAAACACTAAAAAACAGAAAACAAAATACACACAAATATACAGACACACAAGCAAATGGCCAGATCTACAATTCGATTGCGATAAGCATCTCGCACAGCTCGAGTCTTGTGTGTATGTGGACTCGTTAGGAGCCTGAAAAGATGTTCGAAAGGTGCTGGAAGCACAAATTAATATTTGTGGGCAGCCGTGTGCGGTCTGTCGACCTATTGCCTTCGAGGGGGGGCCCCCTCCACAGCAAGAACAAGACAAGACAAAAGGACATCATCAGCGCAGAACAATGGGCAAATTTGTCGTAAGGCGAAGGCTAACCTGAACACGCAGAGAAAGTGCTCGGCAGAGGCAAACTAAAGGATTTACTCTCAGGTCAGCCAATGGGCTACAGATACATTCACAGATACAGATAAATTTTTAGGTGCTGCTAATACTGCCAGCTTGGCATGCGTAAACTTGACTGAAGCTTGACCCGCAAGTTCACTGGACACGCACTGGAGTCGAGAGCCAGAAATGATCAAGACACAAGACACAAGAGGAGTAGAGTAGTAAGAGCGGCTTGTTGGCTGAGATCTGCTTGGCCCGTTGAGTATCGTACCTTAATCGCTGCATTTTAATCGACACGCAAAGTTCGTTTAAGTTAAATAAACGTTTAAACGAGAACACAGCGAATGGAGCAACAAGCAACAACAAGCGAATGGCATGCGCTCCACGCAGCTTCAACAAAAATCGAGTAACAACAACAAAAAAGGGCTCAGGAACTGGGAAAACCTTGGGAACTGCGAACTGCGAACTGTAAACTGAGCAGTGAGAGGAAATTCGGTACCTGCACCTCTGTTTCGAAGTGCGTGTGCATCGTTGGGTGTGTACGAAATGTTTAAATTAAGCTGGATATCAAGTGCACCAGATCACTAATTACCAGCGCCAGCCAAAGCTACAAAACGCTTAAGAAAAAACAAAAAAACAACAACAGCAAGAATACCTTCGCCTCTTCCTCCTATTTGGGCATCGTGTACGCGAAGCGCCGCTTCATGGCTTAAAAATGTAAACGTCAAGTTTCGTTTGTGGGCATCCAAAATCAATAAAGATCGAACCCAGATTGTGGTCCAGTGTTTGCTTAACTTTCGGGCGGCCCTTAAATGGGTTAATGTTGTCGTTCTCTCGACTCAACTCAGGCGCTGTAAAACAATGGAGCTGTCCATTTCTTGATAGCTTTCGATGGCATTCAAATGCAGTAACTCAAATTGACGTGTGTATGTTGGGAGATCATTTAGCTAGCGATATGTAAACGCTATAGATTGTCTAAATTACAGTGCTTCTCTTACGAATATGCTCTAAAATTTAAGTATATTGCTAGGAATAAATAAAAAAAATGTATACAGTTAACAATATTTTTAATGATTTTAATACATTTTTAAGTGATGTTAAAACAGTTATAATGACAAGCTTTTAAATTTTAAAGGGATTAATTCGATGTGTATTTCACGTTTGCCTTAAGTTCCTGGTATAAATCTGGTTTAAATACGAGCTTTCATGCAGTATAACATACTCTTTTATATAAGATCCATTATATAGCATTTACTTCCTGCATTGTCTAACTGACATTCGCTTGAAATCAACTTGAAATTTATCTTAATAATGTGATCTTGGCTCTTCAGCTGACTCGTATGCATATAAAAGCAATTCTCTGGCAGCTGTCTAGAAAAAGATATGACATACGATGCTATATACTTAGTTTGTTTTGACTATTTGTCAGTCAGCGTAACACGCCCCAAACATGGCATACAACAATCCATAGAAGCCCCAGCAACGCTGGGTTGCCATAGGAAGCAATGGACTGTAATTAAGGCCGCTACCGGACACAGAAACCAACTGAGTGCAAAAATTGTTGAGTCGCCCATAGCCACGATATATTAATATATATATATATATAAATATATTTATATAAGTATGTAGTTCTGTGTTCGTTAGCCATGTTTTGCATAATTTCTCATTAAAACACGTTTCTATTATAATATGTCAATAATGTTTCGTTTGCTGTCAGTTTTTAATGTAAATTATTAGCGGCAATTGATTAGATGATGCATTATAAGAATATCGCGTTAAGCAATTAAGCATATAATTTAATATAAGCATGTTCCTAACTATCGGCAATTTCAGTGTGTCTAAGAGTCAAGGTTCTGGTCTTACGCCAGGTGTCTTGCTCTATTTTTAAAGATGTGCTCACAACTCACATGCTGTATATATATATCTCTCGATCGTAGCTCTCTTAATAATGCATAATTCATGGCTCACAGTAAAGCATTTTAATGCGTTTAAATGCCTCTCAACGCTCCAGAGGGTTAGAGTTGAATCCCATCAATGGTGGAGTCTGGCGCCAATAGGCTATGTAGGATTGTAATATGATCGGACCCGCTTGTTTTCTTCTTCGTCGTGCCCCTTTTGTCAAGCTCAATGCATTTTGGCGCCTGCATTTTGACAGTCAATAAAATTTTGAAATGTTATACTTTTCATTTTGTTTTCTATGTCGCATCGATTTTATTTTGTTGGCCCTCTTGTTGGCTTTTGTTCTCTAAATGGCTTTTTGATTGGAGAGATTGGAGCAAACGATACAAATGAACCACTTTTTCAGTTTGACAGCCAAAAATACAAAAAAAAAAAAGAAAAAACAGAAAGAAAAAACAAAAGACTTAGGCAACGAACTTGACTTGTACTTTTGCATCGGAACTCTGATATAAATGTTTATTTCTCCGAAAAATGATTATAGAGTCATTATAGCCGAACAATGAAAAATTTACTTCAAACAGATAGTTCATTTTTGGATTAATACTAAGAGCGATTTTCTCTACGGTTATCTACTTAAACTACAGCTAAAAAAGTTCGACTGTGTTGCAATAGTCTATTCAAATTATTATCCTTAGTTGGGCATGCCTAGGGTATTGAGGGTTCATCATACTGTACTGTTAGTTGGTAATTTTGGATGGTTTTGTGTTACTATTGACTGTTTAATAAACTATAAAAATAAATTTAGAAACAATGACGACAAAACACACTTCGGAATGTGATAGAGCGGCAGTTAAGAAAACGCACAATGGCGTGCGCTTGCTTTTCAGAGACTCTCCTCTGCTCCGACACCACCCCTGCAGCCCAACTTCTCAAGCAGCTCATCATGCATATTGATGATATGCGTTGCTCTCTCGTGTTCAGTTCATTGTTGTTTATTGTCGTCCGTTAAGGCGTCAACTTTTCTGACATAGCCACATTTTACAATGCTCGTAAACGATATTTTTGCAGGCAGAGTTCGATCGGTCGTTCGTTCGATCGTGTCCAATCGTCCGATTGTCCGATCCTGCATAGTTTTTATATCATTCATCATTGGCGGTCTGTTGGCTCTGCGTTTGTCGTTGTGCTTGTGGTCTGGGGCAGCCCATAAACCAAGTTCGGGGCGACTGACTGTTTCGACGACTGCCTAATTAAGTGATTAAAATTCTGGCCAACGCCGATGCGTATGACTTTTGTATGTGTTAATATAAAGTTTATTATTTGAAGCAGCACGTGGTCGGCTGGCAGTCACTCGGTCTATAGGCCTCTTTTTCGGGCACTATGCAAACATCAAGTAGCCCCATATAAGTACGACAACAGGGCATATACACTTACAGAAAATATAAACCCAACAAATCTGAATAAGTCATATATTATTTATATTGAGAATATTGATCAACCTATAATCATTGATTATTCAAATAAATATATATATCTACAGTGTTTTTTAAAATGTAATATTTTGTTTATCAATTCTTCCACCCCGTACTACAACAGTTTTTCTTTGAGTGTACGCAGTCTGGCAGCACCCATGAGTACATAATGCTGACTGGCTACAGCATATCAAGCAGTGGACTTTACGACAAATATCTGTGCGTAACATTTGTGGCATTTTTAATTTACAACAATCATTGCATTAGACGGCAGACCGGCACTTAAGCATTACTATATCGGTTTTATTATCGCCCATCATCCATCGACTCGTCGATCGACTTGCAACAAATGTTTCAACTGCTACGTTGATGAATTTATGCCAACCGATTTGGCGTTGACAACGCCAACCCCTTTTAGCCACGCCCCATTTGTCGCCCGTGTCTCAGATACAAACGCCTCGATTGAGTACAAAGTAAACTAGCCGCGTGGCAATCAATTCTGGAATGGACTTCATTTTATTATATGGGAGCTGTAGAGCCTCAAATAAGTTTGTAGAGACAAAAAAGAATTTAAGTATCGTAACTGCTTGAGTACTTTTTTTTGTCCATAATAGTAACTCTTGTATTAATTCAATTTAAACTATAAATAATTATTTCTGATAATGATTAATTTTAAAGTTAAAAGGTTCTTTTAAAGATGAAAGACGTGAGCGGCCTGCATTATTTTATTTGTAAAGCAAAGTAAATATGATTTATACATTTTATTTTAGTTAGGATCCAAAATATTTTGTGTTTTCCCAATTTTAAGCTCCTCACCAATTTAATAAAACAAAAAGATTAGACAAAAAATTTTCCAGATATTTTACACCAAAATCGAACATCCTTTGTTTGATTCCCAATTCCAAAATATAATAAAAAGTACTGTTATATCATTTTCATAATTATTTATTTTTCTTGCATAAATTTAGAAGCCAATCTCTAGGACAAATACTAAAAGCTAGAATAGAATACTTATCAATAATAAACTCAGACTAAGACTAACAAGATTTATATACAATAAATTGAGGACTGATATTATATTTTTTTTTTTTTTGGTGGGTTGGATTTGCTTGCTTTTTTTTTGTGGGTACAGGGGGAGGGATGGTTTTGCCACTGTCATGTTATAAAATACAATTCGCTTGATAAATTTAACTTTAAAAACATATTTACAATTAGCGACTATTAAACAAAAAACTTTAAAACTTTTTTTCATTTCCTTTTTGTATAAATAATTTTTGGATTTGAGCTCAATAGTGTGAGTGGTGTGTTCTTGTGTGAGTGTTTGTGCTGGTATACATATATATATATATATATATGTGCTGCAGCTAGCTGTCTCTTTCCAACTCTTGAAACGCAGGCGCAGCACTAAAACCTGTCCATAAAAATTTCAATTTCGACGGCGCAAATCGAATTCAAACCGTACACGAAAATACATTAAAAAAAATAAACAACAACACTAACAGAGAAAAAGAAATAACAACAACAACGACGACTACGACGACGAGGCAAATGAGTTGATTGCCTGTTCGGCTTGGCTCCACCCACCCACAACCACACTAGACACACACAAAGATGCCGCGCATGGCGCTGGCCGCATTGTGGGTCACAGCGAAACCACCAAACGGCGGCGGTGTCTCACCACCAATGGCGTTCAGTTTTTGCCGCTTGACTGCAACCGTTGCCTCCGCTGTGGATGATGTGCTGCTGCTGCTGCAACTGCTGCTGCTGGTCGTTGTAGTGCCGGTGCTGGTGGTGCTCTCCGTGCACTCCGCTTCCAGCTGATAAAATTTGCGACGCGGCGCCATCTCGTGCTCATCCTGCAGACTGCAGACATCGCTGTCATTAAAACTGTGCACCGAACTCCTCGATGTCTTCATGCTCAGATCCATGGGTCCATCCTGGGCAGCGGCGGACCCTGCTGTGGGCGATGTATTTGCAGCGACTGTTTCGCCGCCAATGGAGCAGACGGAGACAGGTGAAAGTGATTGCATTTTCGCCGTAAAACTCAATGGGCTGCTGCTCTGCGATTTGCTGAGGCTGGGCGAGGCAGAGCCGGACACGGAGACGGAGTTGGTGGCAGCCAACTGCTGTTGCTGCGGCTGCGGCTGCTGCGTTGGTGTGGCACGTATGGCAACTGGTGTGTGTATGGTGTGGTGCGGACTGCGACTGTGTTGACTATCAGTGTGACTGTGAGTGTGACTATGCTGTGACTGCACATCGTCATCATCGTCAGCGGACAGGCAGACATCGATGGGCGAGGCTGCGGGCTGTGGTTGCTGTGGCTGTTGCTGTGGCTGTGGCGTAGCCGTTGGTGGCGTGTAACGATTCTGTGACTCCAAGGAGGTGGCGGAATCGACACTCTGGCGATGCTTGTACATCTCCTGGCGATAGGCAGCATCCGCAGCAGCGGCCGCCGCAGCGCTGGCATGATAGCCTGGGAAGAGCAAGTGCGGTGGCAACTGGAAGGCCGACTGTGGTGTGGCCATCATGCTGAAGAAGGGCAGCGCGGCAGCAGCAGCAGCTGCATCAGCCGGATGGCGTGCACCAAATGGCTCCGGCAAATGGTATCCCGGATAGCCAAGCAGCGGTGGCAAATGTGAAAGACGCTGCTGTTGCTGCTGCTGTTGTTGCTGCTGCTGATGCTGATGATGCTGCTGCTGCTGTTGATGATGATGCTGTTGCTGTTGCTGCTGCAGATGCGCGGCCAAATCACCAAAACCGGGCGAACTCATCGGCGAACCGGTGCCATGTCCCGGCTGCTTGCCAGCTGCGGCAGCTGCTGCCTGCTCGTGCTCCTGCAGTAGACAGTGGATCTTGAACCAGTTGGAGCGGCGACCATACCGTGAGCCACCCTTCGACATGCCAACATTGTAGCACTTGCGCAAGCGGCACGCCTTGCAAGTGGTGCGATTCTTCTTATCAATGATGCACTTGCCATCGTTCTTGCACTCGCTGATGGTGCTGATATTATTGTACGAGCGACCAAAAAACGACTGTAAAGCAAAAGACAAGAAGGGAAGCGATTTTTGATTAGTTAAGGTGTTGCACAAGGCAAAACATAGCCAAACAATTTGAGTAGCTGTGTTCTGTGTGTTGTTTGCAACTCACCTTGCAGCCCTCGCATGTAAAAGCGCCAAAATGAAAACCCGCTGCGGGCTCACCGCACACTTTGCACGTCTGATTCATCTGTAAGGCAATAGAGACAAGTAATTAGTGGGATCTTTGACTTGGGCTTAATCCATTGATAGAAGAGCTGGCTGCAGAAGCAAATCACAAATCAAGTATGAAATTACTGCAAATTCACCGAATCAATTAAGATTTTTTTAAATTGTGATTTCACTTTTTTTGTGCTTTGCTGTTTCATTCTAAATTTGTGCACACTTTTCACAGTGGGTTATTTTCTCATTGATAGATAATCCGTTTTGTGCGTGTCAAGAAACTAACCAAGTTGAACACCATTTTGGCAGCTAGCCAAGCCAATCAATTAATATACTGAAATGTTGCTTATTTTTTTCTGCTGGCAAATAATTTTCTAGTTCTTCCGTCACTTCTCGAAACGTTTTCCGCGTTCTGTTCGATTGATGCGCTGCTGTGCGACTGATGCTCGATTTGCTCGGAGTCGAGGAATTTATAGGAAATGCATAGTTGGGCATAACTAGGAAAGCAGTTTGTTTTCCTTTTTTTATGATCAGCTGCGTGGGCAGGCAAAAAACTTAAGCTGCCGGGGGATTATGCAACCCTATGCGTTCTTCTCTCAAATTTTCGCAGGTAGAAAAGTAGAAGTTTGTTTTTTTTGTCATATTTTTACATGAAATCATTACGCCTAAAAAATTATATAGAGCCCTAGACCTTGACGTTGTGTCATAAAAATATGCTGGCAATTTTTTTGCGCCCAAATAAAAAATATGTTCTGTGTGTGTGTGGGTGTCTTTTCGCATGAAACAGTAAAAAATCAAAGTAGTGCAAACAGGGCTCATAAAAGATGCCGTCGGTTGCGACCCGGTCGAAAAGTGAAAAATGCATAAAACGTGAATTGACTTTGAGTGTGGGTGCGTTTTTCCTCACTGATCTTTGAAAACTTACCTTGGGTTCTTTTGGGTTTTTTGTTGTTGTCTTGTTTTTTTTTTTTTTGCTTTTTTGCGTATAGAACTTTGTGTTTTATAGCTGATGACTTTTTAATTGCACGTTTTGGTTTTTTTTTTTTTGCTTTGCTTTGAAACACAACACTTTTTCAACACTGTGCGATCTTTATGGATCAGTCTCTGTCTGTATTTGTTTCTTTTTCTTTTTTAGTTTCTTGCGAGATTTGTATTACACACTTTACGTACGAATTGATGCTGAGATTTTTTAAAAAGATGGTTCTGTTGTGGTTTCGGCTTGAAGGCACGCAACGCGCTCTTTACTCACGATGTGTAACTCACACCTGGGCAACTAGCTGACGACTGATTTCTTGCTCAAACTCGTCGTTGGCAAGAAGCATTTGCTGTGTGTCGCTCGGTTGGCTAACTCCCAGTGCCTATATACTGCAACAACAGCAATACTCCAAACAACCACTAATACAACTACACACACACACATACACAAACACACCACCACCACTACCAATTCTAGTAACGAGTTTTGTGGCTCTCTGATAAATCACAGTCTCAGCATCTGACTCGATCGTGCGTATGTATTCACAACTACAACTACAACCACCACCACCAGCAACAAAACAAGAACAACAACAGCAGAGCGCAACTCAATCGCACTCAATTGTGCAGCGCTCTCGCGAGTTTGCTTACCTGAGTCACACTCCCAGTTCGAGTCGCTGTTAATGCACTGTTAGCTGTTAGCAGTGCTCAATGAATGAGGCGCACTACTCAACTGATCTCTCTTTCGCTCTCTCTCGCTCTCTCTCTCTAGCTAGCTTGCTTGCGCTGGGCGCTCTTTTTGGGGCGCGATTGCCGTGCTCAATTTGAATTGCTCTGTTATTATTCGTTATTCGGTTATTTATTAAAACTCGCACGTTAAGGGCAGCTGAGCTTTCTCGCACACTCACACACACACACACGCAGAGCCATTGACTTCATTTTTAACAGTTGCTCATTTTATTGAGCATGGGCGGAGCCTTTAAGCGTACCCGTTAATTTATTGGGCACATATATGAGTGTTTGTACACACATACACATAAATAAGTATGTGTACCGTTAAAAGCCTTCGCTTTATAGTAATTGTAGTGCTTATTGTGCTCTTTGAACAGTTTGTCTAATTTCTGCTTATTTTGATTATATTATATGGAGACATATTGATTTTTAGTCAGAGTTTTTTATAGACAAAACACAAAACGACAAATCAACTTGTTAAATCGTTATTTTTACTACTAAGCGAGCACTTTTATTGTCTTACCGCATTCAAATTCATTCTCACACACCGTTTTCCCTACTCAAGTGAACTACTTATATTAACTCTTCATTATTATCAATTGACTTCGTTTTATTGCAGCTACGGTCACAATCCTTTCAACATCAACCACTTTTTTCTCTGCTTTTCACAAAGGAAGAGTTAACTCTTTTTATGTGCACCTTCATTATATTTGCGCTGAGCTACTGCCCCTTACCTTGGCTACCTGGCAAGGACACACACATTAACCCTTTTATGCATCGTCATTGTCTACATTGAGCTGCACAATAGAAAGTGTGAAACCAAGCCAAATGTGTGTTTGTAAGGAAGCAGCTACACAGCTCCGTTTATATATTGTCAATTTTAAAGAGGAGTAAAGATATAAAAACTAACTATAAATCAAGCTTTACTAACTTTTTGAACTAGCAAAGAAATTTTAAATATTAACACACCATCTCTCTCCCTTTCTATCTCTCTCTATCTCTCTATATTCTTGGAACTGTTGTTTGGTAGTTCTCTTCCAAATGAATTTTTAAACTAGGGTATGGTGAGCACAGCAGCAACGTAGCCTCAATCCTCGCTTCCTTAAGGCCGCTAACCATAAAAAACCAATATTGCATCAAAATTTCCAAGTAAGCGAAACAAAGGCTTGCAAAAAAGTCAAGGAATATAGAACCCAGTCCAGCACGCTGCCTAGCCGACCTTCTTGCAGTTCTTTTTTTTCTAATCGATTCAATTTAACTGACTTTTCCCGTTCGCGTTTTTCTCATTTTTTTGCAGCACACACACAATAATAATAAAAAAAAGAGCGCAGGAAAAATGTTTCGAAAAATTTCGCGAATTTCCGCAGTTTTTTTAACAAAACAAATGGGTAATTTTCCTGTGTAATTAGTTAGCACGAAGGGAAAACGTGAAAAAAAAGTGGAAAATAAAAAAAATAAGGACAAACAGTGCGACATTGTGACTTTTAATCCGGTTTAATCCCCCGGCTTAAGTTTTTTGCACCCAGCAAAAGACAGACAAATAGCGGTTCAGTTTTTCAATTCCCGATAGATGTCTCAACCACGACGGTCAGTTGAGAACGAGAGCCGCGAGCCGACGCGTCGGGCAGGCTCATCATAATTATGATCCTAGGATAATCTGCAGCTTAGGTATGCTGATCCCGCGATTAGGTAACAAAATCGCGTGCTTAGGTAGCCACAAGAATTGGCCTAAAAAAAACTAGTGGAAATCTTAGAGACGTCGAGTCATAAAGTCAGCGGAACCATAAAAAGTCGAGCAGGCCGTGTAACCCGAGCCGCACAGATCACACTTTCCGCTTAAGTGGAAAAGGGATGAGTGACTGACTCCTTGCTCTTGGCTGGCATATGTTTGCCATTTTTAATTTTTTACTTACTTACTTTTGCAGGATGCAGCCAGCATCCATAAAAAAGACAATTGCACTCGAGAGAGTTGCGTAAAGAATGCATGCAGAATTCACTAGAACGCATCCAAGGACACGAAAAAAACGAAACCTTTTCATCTAAAAATAAAAAAAATCGTTCTATTTGTGTGCTAAAAAAACGTGCGCTTTAAAAAAAAATGATTTGACTTTTTGACTTTACGGTTAAAAAAGTCAACTTTTTAATTAGCCATAAAAATGTAAAAAAAAAATTAACTGCTGCGAGTCGGAAATGGCAGGCAGCTACTTAATACGACTATTGGAATTGGCCTTAGGCCTCGTTGTTGGTGCTTTTTTCTACAGGTCTGTATTCAGTTTAGTTGGTAGTAGATACATATATGTAAATATATATATATATAAATAGATATTGCTGCCCCGTTTCAGCTATACGCAAGTCAAAAAGTCAACTCGTTCGCATTTACATAGTTTGATTGCATCATTTGGCCAAATAGCCATATAACAACACAGCACATATCAATCAACACACACTTTGTATCTGTATCTGTAAAACTGTAGTTGTATCTGTATCTGTATCTCTATCTGTATCTGTATCTGTAGCTCATAGCTCACAGCTCGTGTTGAGCTCGTGTGGCTCTCGCGGCGATTTGCATATTTTTGATTTAACAGCTCGATGGATGATTGCTCAGATCTATCGCTCCTTAGTTACCTTAGTTTTTTATATAACGCTGTGGGGTATATGCAGATAGAAATATAGCTAGCCATTTAAATACAGATTTTTCCGTTCGTTACAAGCAGCAATTTGTTTTAGTTAGTCTATTGTCAACTAGTTGTCATTAGGGTATTAAATCGTCGACAACATTTAAACTTAATTTGATATTTCTCGATTTCTTTTTCATTTGTCGTTTTGCTTGTTTTATGTTTTATTTTTTTTGTCAGCTTTGTTTTTGTAATTATGTGTGAATAATTTGCATTTTCAATGCGCCAACATTCATATGATGTACCATTTTGGTCCACAAAGATAAGACTTGACGTCTTATAAGCAATTTTACAATATATCATTTTTACACAAAACACACACACACACACATTGTGAGTGATCATTTGTTGGCTGGCAGCAGCTCTAACCTGGCCATTAGTCAATAAATAAATGGCTAAAATGCTTAGATTTGGCTGTAATGCGTCGCTTGAACCCATGTATCATTAGGTTAGTTTTTGTTTACTTTGACAATCACTGGTAATTTATTCATTAATTGCAATGACTTTAAGTTTCCATTTACACTTCGGAAAACGTTGCTTGCAATAGTTGATGAATTTGGGCTGCAAATTTGCTGCTGTTACATAGGGACAGCTTAAGGTCTTGTAACTAATCAAAACTCTGACATATTAGAGGTGCTTATAAAAAAGTTACTACCCCTTGACCATAAAATTGATTAACCGGTAGTATAAAGTTGTGCATAATCGAAACTATTTGCATAAAAATAGTTAGCATTATTATTCCTTATGAATTCATTTATTGCATAGATTATTGTTATTTAGGGTTCTAACGAGCTGCAGTTAAAGTCTTTCTTTAATATTTTAATTTTGCACCATAAGTTATTGCCCTGATGTCATCTGTATATAAGAATTGAACTTTTACACTTACAACTTATATATTAGCATACATGATATATATATATATATAGCTATAGCTGATTATCTGGTTTCATCATGGCCAAAAGTTCTAACAAAGTTCTCAAAAATAAAATCGATCGAGTCGCATAAAGAAAAGTCAATAAAACTTGTTTGGTCAATTTCGCAAGATAACTGAATTTGATAAGTTGTTGGTTTGGTTTCAGCTGACAAACGTCTTATGTTTAATTGTGTTGGGTAATATGTTCATTACGTTTAGTATTGTTTTTATGGAATAAACTGGTTCCATGGCTTGGCTTTCGAATTGATATATGGCTTTCGTTTATTAGTGCTCTATAGAATATCATCGAAAGAAGCATTCTCTCCCTCTCTTTCTCTCTCTCTCTCTTGGTATCCCAAGTCACGTAGCATCTAAAATTTTATATCTATTGGCTATTGTATTAGAATTATGAAATTATGAATTATGCAAATCCGAATTATGATTATTGATCGCAGATAACACCCCACCAATAACACAAATATCTTTTTGCCTGGCCCGAAAGGGGTTGGGAACGGAACACGTAATATTTTCAGCAAACATAGACGCAATTAAAAATTCAAGCATAACAGCATAAATAATAATTACGATATAATTATGACATTTGGAATGCCTGGAAATATGTTTTTGTTCATGGAATTTGCATATGTATAGTCTTATCTTTGGCTTGAGCAAGCAAATCCGAAAACTAGATGGAGTTTCCGCCGATTTAGAACCAGACCGCCAAAAGCAACCAGGTCGCAAACTTCCCACGGATCAGATCATGTCGAACTAACGATATGTTAATATACAGCCACATACATACTATGTGATCAGTACCCACATGTTGAAGATTACCTTAGAGTTAACTACATTTGTGGCTGGGCAAAACCCCTAACGGAAGTTGAAGCTGCGGTTTTTGCAATTTTCCAAATGATCTCGCGGTTTTCACACACTTTCACTCTGTGCTCGCCGTTTGCACTGATCTCGATTAAATCCGCTGAGACGACTCGGCATTTTGGGACTTGTTTGATCAGAACCTGGCTTTGGAATTTTTGATAATTGCACAAGTTGTGCAGAAAAACACACTCGGCCAAAACACGAACCGATGATCCTCGGCTAATGCTCGTTAATCTGGCTAAGCCACCAGCAAGTTAAGCTAACGGGAAATAACGTAGTCAATGAACAGATCACTGGGAAAGTCCCTCCACTAAGAAAGAACACACATCTTGGTGGTTTTTAGAAAAGCAGGCGAATATCGTATGCAAGATCGTAATACATTAAATGTGATCAATAACTCCATATCTGTCTAATGGAATTTTATTTTTATAATGTTTAACAAATTTGTAATTATATAATGGAAACGAAAACTATAATTCGTGATCGTAACTTATATTTCTTGCCTAGTTACGTCGTTCACTGATTGTATGAACTCATTTTGTATAAATAGCCTGCGATAGAATTTAAAATCACGACTAAAAATCTATTGCCAGTGCTGAGTTTTGATAAGTACACTTCTGAGCACTTGTAATTACACTGACGTACACATATATAAATTAAATTATCTTGAGATAGGCAAAACTACCCTCTATAGTATAGTGTCACGAACTGGTTGCCTCAATATCCGGCTTTAAAATCGATTATAGAGATACAGATTTGGCATTTCCTTAGAAGACTCATCAATGCAATGGGATGCACAGCAATTATAAACTGTTTATTTTGTTTGTTTTTCTAGCTGGCCCACACACACACACATTCAACGAATCGATTATAAATTATAATGAAAATATGAATTCACTTATCAACGTTTTATGATCTTCTATGCCCGCTTTCGATTTGCAGTACTTGCAACACACAGCGCTATTAAATCTGACCGGATGCGTGCCCGCACCGCCCACCCAACCGATCTAAGCGAGCCCATTGAGGCACTCTTCTGTGGCAACAAGTGTATAACGCCAGTTGCCACAAAATAACTCAGTTATGCAAAGCGCATTTGTGCAACAATCCAACAAGCGTCGATGACGACGACGACGACGACGACGAACCATCAACTCTTGACGATGGATCGTTGGATCGTTGGCTGGTACGCCTTGGCATTCAGAACGCGCTGCGCTTCCTGCCCCCAACTCGGGTCAAAAAACTCGCCCACACTGTGGAGTTGAAGTTCTTGTTGTTGTTGGGGAAAGATCTGTTTGGGGGTAAGCGTGTAACTGTTTTAATGCCTAATTAATTGATTGCCCTTTGGACGCATTTCGAATGCAGAAGCCGAACCGAAAAGGGCCCTTCACATTTAAGCACAAGTACAAGCCATAAAGACGTCTGGCTGGCGCCGCTTGTTAGGATTTAGGGGTTTTCCAATACCAATACCAATTGGGCACAATTTTGAGATTCGAAATTCGTATTCGTTGCATGCCAAACGCTTTTGTTCTAACTGCAGCGCCATTCAATGGGGTTTACTGTACTGTTCCATTTCCAATTAGTTGCACGTTCGCTATGCAAATGATGACCAAGTTGGCAGATACATATGGTGTATGGGGTTTGGTGAGGGGGAGGGGAGAGCATAGATTTTTAAAATATCATGTCCTGGTGCTCTCTTCCGCCAGCTTTTGTTTCGGCATTCGCAGCGGCTCTTTGACAAACTCACATGTCATTTGACTTAATGTTCACACGGGACAATTTATATGCTAATTTGCAGTGGGCATCAAAGACCGCCGGCTGACTGACGTTCCAACTGATGAAGGTGTTAGAAATGTAATTACCTTGCATTTAAATGCTCAATTAGTGCGCAGACAACCAGTCAACAAACCAACCAAGAGACTAACCAACCAATGCAGACGGACGCACTTCAACACTTCAACATCTCTGCCAAAGAGCCGACGACTCTTAACTGGGCTCCCAATGTTTGTCGGCACTCCATGTGATGATCGTTTGGTTGCCATGATTGGTGGAACCACGCGTATGTCACAAACGAGCGCAACGAACTTCAAACGAACTCACCTGCAATTGCAAAAAAGAACCTTTAAATGCACCCCCCTCAGCAGATCCCACAAATCAGTATTCAATGTCACTTTTGCCTGGTCTCAAAAAGGCAGTACATAATTTTATTTTTATTTTTATTATTCTATTAAATGTAGACTTTCATCTTATTATATATTATACATATAGGTGTATATATATATATATATATATATATATATAGCTTTAACTTTAGCTTTAGCTGTAGGCCCATTTCCTCATAACCGTTTGTAAGTTAAGCACCAATGTTTCCTGGCGAATGAGCTTCAAGTCTTTAGTTTCAGTTGCAGCTTTCGCTAACCATTTCACATCTGCACTGTAGTCACATTTTGAGCAGCTTATCTTAACTCAGTGAAGTCAGCACTTTGTGTGCTCAACTTTCCCTAAGCTCCTTTTTAGGTCGCTAATCTAGAAATATACTAAGTGATCTGTAAATTGTCCCGCTGCAACTTCTCTGTTTTCAATATCTAATTATTTTGTATTTATCTTTGTCACACGCTTTCCCAGAGCCGGAGAACGACCCAAAAACAGGTCCACTCTAAAGACGCACAGCCGTTGGCCTAAACTCCTAAATTATAATAAACGTGTAATCGTAATGTGTGCTTATGAACATAATCTTCAGGTCATTTGGCATGAATTAGCGATGCTAAATGTCAAGTGAGTCGAATGATATCAGTGCAGTTTAAAGACGCAGTCCTCCCCTCTCAGTCCTCCTCTCTCCCTTTTATCTCGGGTGGTCGCCGGCCGACCGGTCCCCCTAAATACATAAAAATCGAAGTCCGCAATTCCATATCCAAAACCAAACTGAACGATTGATTCAAATGTGCATGCGAACGCATTTCGCAATGCCAAAGCACATAAACTCCAAAGTGTATACCACAACAGTGGACTCGACTACGGGAATGGGAATGGGAATGGAAATAGGAATGGAAATAGGAATGGGAATGGGAATGAGAATGGGTATACGAATGGAAATGGAAATGGGAATCGGTTAAATGGATGCACAGTTATGGCTGACTTTCAGATCTGGCTTGGACTGCACTTGTTCTAGCAGCCGCATCTCTCTTAAAATTCGCATTTTGTATATCGCCTGACAAACTGGATGATACTTCTTCCTTCCCTCCCCACTCTCTGTCTCTCTCTCTCTCTCTCTCTCTCTCTCTGTCTCTCTCACTGAGGACATTATATGATCGCAACGACATTTACGACACACTTTGTGGCTATTTATGCGGTGCATGCAGGCCGGCAACGTTTTCAACTTGGGTGGTATATCGAGCACCTTAAGCTCTCAAGATTCCCAAGACTCATTAGCCTCTTCAGGCTTTGGCCTGGGGAGCAATAAATATTTTGATTTGTGGTGCTGCAGTTTTTAACTGGAGTACTCGCAGTGGTTTCCATTTGACGATTTAATGGCCCATCAAAATGCTATGGATAAAAAGGAGAAGATGAAAGAAGAAGACGACGACGAAATTTGTTGCATGCTGCATTTGACTTGTGCAGTTGAACTCCAATTGAACTCTGACAACGGCTCAAGTGTTTAATGGCAAGACTGGTGTACATAATGCAAATCTTGTGAAAGCGATCACAGCAAATTGAAAATCATATTTGTCTTGCCCTCCCAGCTTTCCCATACCTGTATACACAAAACCAAAAACAAAAATCCAAAAATATGGCTCAAATCTTTCTAACGGCATTACTTGGGCACAATCAAAATGTGGAACAAGTTCAATCGCAACGCCCTACAGGCGTCCAGAGCCAAGCCAAGGCTGACTATCATCAAAGCAGGCAGCATCGATCTGGCAACTGGCAACTGGCAACTGGCGATCGCAACCACACCCGCACCACAATGCTGCACTACTCGTGCTCATTGTTTGAAGCTTGCTCGCTGGCTTCAGTGTGGCAGAGTGGGTGTGTGGGTGTGTGATTGTGGGAGTATGCAACGCATTCGATATTCGAGACTTCGATTTGGTTTAAGCAAGGGAAAAGACTTGGAAAGTGCATGCACAGATCGCTGAAGAGTCGAACTGATGGGGCACCAACATAAGCCAACATATCACAAGCTAAGTTTGTAAAGGAACAGCTGCCATATGAGTGTTCCCACCAGGTTTTGTATATTGATGAAATTGAAGAAATAAATCTCAAATTTCTTCAAATATCTGAGCTAGATATTCTGCGAGCTCTCAAATCTATCTCAGTTAGTTTTAAATTGATTAACTATCTATATTTTTAACATGCACAGGTTAAATTGTTTTTCAGATTTTACTAGACAGAATTTTTAAATTGAGTATTTGCTTGAATCTTTCTGTGATTTCCATATTATATTTCCATTTCGTCTACAATCTAAGTCTGCATCCATAATATATGTATAATAAAAACCAAAGTCCTTTTATCCCTACTAATAAGCTCGCTTCCGAATATCCTTTGAAAACACCATAGGTAAATACTTGGCTTTTTTTTGTTAAGGGGGAAACGCATATCGCCGTTTGGGGCTGCAGATCTGCAATTAATGATCTGGAAACGGCATGTCAAAGCCATTTTATCTGCGGAACTGCTGTCATATGGGACTGCCAATGGTCTAATCCGTGACCATTTTGCACTGCGATCGTGCGGTTGAAATTCCAAGGTTTGTCAGCTAGTTGGCCTCTGGTCACGTGAGCTTAATTTGAGGCACTGTTGGTCGGTCGGTTGCCCCTTGTTGGTTGTTTGGTTGGGTTCGTTTGCGGCATTGATAGCAACGATTCGATAAGTTTTTCTCTCACACACGAAGCTGTAAAAGCTGGAAAATGGAAAGTCAGGCGATCGCAAAGATCGCTGCGATCAAATATGTTATAGAAAATTGAGCACATACCACAAACAAAAAAAAAATACAATGCCACATCGATAGATAGAGACAACGAGAGAGAGAGAGAGAGAGAGAGAGAGAGAAATGGGGGGAGGGGGGCAGATACAAAACATTTGCTCACTTTGATTTGTTTATTTGGCTGCCACACGAATCTCAAAGCTCCCTGGCAGAAGCAGACAACACAAGTATTTGCTACAGCTACAGCTACAGCTCCTCCTGGCCGCAAGTTGACCTTTCACTGCACCGCAGCAGCGCCGATTTGCCGGAAGCGCTCACCCAAAATATATCACCAAGCGAATATCTAAAAGAAGAAAAAAAAATGATGATTGGAGCAGCCGCACAACAATGAGAGGGCACAGCCAAACACAGCCTGAAACGAGCCTGGACCTCAAGCTCAAGCTGTAGCTAAAAACTGAGCTGAGGCTCTGGCTCTGGCTCTGACTTCAAAAAATAGTAAACAATATCTGTAAAAATAAAAACGCCCAACGCCGCTGCAGTTTGCCAATGCCAAATGCCCATTGTTGTCTTGCAAATGTAATGCGGCCCCCGGCGATGAGCCAACCAAACCGAGTTCAATTTGGTAGGCAGCTAGACAAAATGTGGGCACCCGACTGGCCTCTAACTGGCCAGCTCCAATGGGCCACAAAAAAACCATCGTATCCCAAGCGATGGGTCAGCATTCTGTGAACTAGTTCAAATCATTTGAAAAAATCACTCACTGGCGATGCCTAACAATTTACGGGCTGGGCCCAACCCGTCTAGGGCAGCTGCATACTTGGAAGCTTCGAAAAAAAAGCAGCAGCAGTTGAGAGCTTCCATTTGATGAAGTACAGAAAAGTCCGTCTATTAACTCCGAGCTTTCAATTGTTCCAGCTGACAGGTCAAGGTCAGATTTCTCAATCAAAAGAGTGTATTAAGTATGCCATAAAGTGCTTCAGATTCGATTTATTAGATGTGATAAATAACTTGACTTAAAAGTTATCAATTTCTCTCGGATAAACTTGAGATTCCACATATATAGTTTACTTATCAAGCCGCGTTGTTTTAGAGGTGTTAATTATCTTGTATATATAATTAAAAGCACCCTTATAATCCAAAAATAAAGTTCAGATATTTTGCTATGTTGTTTAAGGTGGTGAAGTTTGCTATTGCAAGATAGGTGAGTATGTCTCGGTTGTTATCGCTCAATCGATACGATCAAAGACATTCCATGTGAATGCTAGACACAAGTTGTATGTCATCCAATGTGGGCCTAGACCATAAAATGCTATAAATTACTCTATTCCAGCATAAGCCAAAGCTATCGCCATCGAGCAATCAGGGGAGGAAAAACAACTCGAACCTTGCAGACAAATGCTGGCCATCTCGTGGCTCATTCTGGATACTGGCCACTGGACACTGGACAGTGGCCTGTGCACAAACGTGCAGTCCTTACAAATTATGTTTAATTAAAATTTCTGTATTAAATATGACACAATGCTCCGAATTCCGGCGCGAAATGTCTAACCATCGCTCCCAAGGTCCCGACGTGCCTGCTGTAATTATTATGGCACCCGAAAACACCGCAGCAACCAACGAACCCAGCCTCTCGGTTCCTGCCACTCTCAGGGCAGAGCAGAGCAGAGCAGAGCGCATCATTTATGATTTTATTTTATTTATAAAATGCCCATCATTTTGGCTCGTAGGCCTAACCAACCTCCTCCCCTCCTCTCGCCGCCCATCCCCTACCCTCCCCTGAACGTGTTGTGCTGCTGTTGCGATGATGTCGATGATGATATTTACAATTTTTTGCGTAAATTTGTCGCATAGTTTGCAGCCCCTGGCCTGTGAAGCCCTCTTGGCCATTCGCACCAAGAGACAAGAGCCAAGAGCCAACAGCCAACAGCCTGTTGGCCAACAGAGCAAGCATTGTGTCCATATCTGGTGTTATGACAAATGCTGTATGTAATTATTGTATTGTATATTTTGTAGCATTGATCTCACAGAAGGACTCACAGTTTTAGTCGCTTTATGTCTGCCCGTGCCTTTGGGACAAAAAGATATCAGAAATGTCGCATATTAATAATGCCCCGGATGGGGACATTTCGTGTGCTGCGTTTTGTGCCTTAATTAACCCTTTTTAAATTGGGCATAATTAGGGGAGCCAATACACAAAAACAAAGTTTTGCACAACAACTTGAAAGGCGAATGAGAAATGGGTGGAAATTTAGATGTTGAGATTAATGTTAATCAATTTATAATTTTTATATTTATAAATCACATTTCTAATAAACTATATAATATTAAAAATATACTTAATATAAATAAGCACAATAATGAACTAAACTAAATTAAAAATATTAAAATATCTTATACATATATTGAAATATATATATATTCATTATTTATATATATTTATATATAACCAACAAAAGTAAAAATTGGCTTAGTTTGAGTAGTGGTCATTTTACATTGACTTCAACTGTTTTTTGAAAATCCATTTATTGCTATTAGTTATAATTTTTTGATTGTGGAAATCGAGAGATTTCTTGACATGTCATCAAGCTAAACAAATATTTAATAATTAAATATAAATTTATATACTACTATTTCAAGCCTTATTTTATTCCTCTAAAATATTTACTAACTATTAACTGTTTTTTTCTCAGTGTAATTCACAATCGTCATCTCATCATTATATCAATCGCATTCGTTAATATTTTTGAAATTTTTTCGCGTAATTTGTTGATATCAATTTACACAGAGGCCAGCGTCTCTGGGATATAATTATATCATTTCGATTGATCATGCGCCGTGAGTCTCATATGCAAGATACTTGACGATTATTAAGGCATATTTCAAATACCAGACAGAATCCATTTTATGATACTTTTCGCAGCGCACTTCTAGCAGTGTATTATACAGTATGGTACGAGTTGTAATTGTGGGGCTCCAGTTAGAAGGCAGATCGAGTCAGTTGCAGTAGAGCACAGCGGGTGTGCTATATAATTGAAGGACAGCTCCTCTCAAGTTGAAGACAGGTGCAGAAAGAGCCTCTTTTAGAGGAGTACGAGAATTGCTAGCTGCCACTTGACGATGATAAATGTGTTGTGTGAGCTGCGATTGAGGATCGGACATAAATGGTTTGATTTGTTGGCAGGTCCTCGCACAGCTACCAGCGCAGTACGATATTTAAAGCAACTTTCACACTACCAACAACAACAACAACAACAAACAAGAGCAACACTCAATTTGATGTTGGGCGACAAGCCCTAAAAGGCCAAAACACGCGCACAGAACCAAACCCAACGGAGCTCAACTCAACTCAACAGAACAGGGCTATATATATATATATATATATATATAAATTTATATACATATGTATCTGTATATGTGTACAATAGTATTTATTTGCGCTGCACAAATTTGGACACACGCTGCATACCAAAAAATGTGCACGTAAAAGGATACTTTTTTGGTGCAGTCCCTGGCAAACTGAGATCGAAGCAAACGCCAATAATTTATAAAGCGGACAATAAAATGTTATCAAAAAACAACAACAACAACAACAAAAATACAACAAGAGGCGCACGCGGACAGCCTGAACTAAATGCCGCACGCCTGCGCAATGCTCAGCAAGTTGTTCATTGGCCGGGACCAAGGGGAGGGGAGTGCCACAAGGGGAAGGGGTAACAAGCAGAAAGCAGACGGCTAACTCTGCCTGGAAGCCCTAGCAGCCAGAGGAGCTTCCTCGAAGCTCGAAGCTCGGAGCTGGTCTTCTACAGCATAGTATGTTGATGATATATGAAATCATATAACAGCAATCGGCAGCCAAACAATACACACAACAAACACACACATATACACACACACACACACACACACATGAGCTTGGTGTGTAGTTTATTAAATGACAACCACTTGAAGCACTTTGTGGTGCTTTGGGTTGCTCCTCGCTTTATTTATGACACTTCAACAAGTTTGTTTAGCGAATTTGCCACACTTTATTTATGGGTTCTGCTGCAAAGAATTTCATTAAGCGCAACGGAAAATAAGGGCAACTCCATTTATTATACACAAAATAGAGTTGTAGAAGTCGTTTTTCACTGCATATCATTTTTGTGGCCTGGTTGTATAATAGAATAATTGAATTAAACTAATGAAGGTTTGCTGCCAAAGCCATTTGCCAATATATAAAGTCTATATAATTGATATTTAAGTAGAGAATTTGCATATTCTTCACAGAAGTCTTTATTTATACCTTAGTTTATAAATTCTTTTTTTAATTTAAGCAATATATGTTATTTAGAAAATTTGCCGTATTTATAGCTTTAGAATTGTTATTTATTTCTAATTTAGGAAATTACTCTTATTTATGATTTTTTAAGCAAGTCCAATAAGTTCAATTTATTTTTTCAAAAGTTAAATATAAATATATTTTCATAATGAGCTGGCAACATTTTTTGATTAGCATAAGCTAAATGTTGTTAAATACAAACAATTAATTTAAAGCGAAAGATACTTGTTAAGGTATTCTTTGTATCATTGCTAAAAATAGATCAATAAATAAATTTAAAATAAAATCAAACGACGCATGGCAATCAAAGTATGTATGGATACCGGCGGGTATTGAATATTTTTAACGAAATTGATCATAAAATGTGCGCAACACGTTTCGAAATTAAATCATTTTAGTTGAGCATTCATGGGCTGAGTCCAACCCAGAGCTATACGAGAGTAGGGCAATAAAACTCTATGGCGATCGCGATATTTAAATGATTTTTATAACACTTCAGCGTTTGAGTTTTGAGCTTTTGCTTTTGTTTGTGGCCCCCGATTTTTTTATGGCGTGGCAAAATTTTAATGACATTCCCTCTAGAATATTCAAAAGATTTTAATGGATTTCGGTTATTTTTATATATTTTTTTTGTTTTCATTTAATAATATAATTAAGGTCATAAAATGCAAATTTTCGTTTCAGTTGACCATAGCGTGTTAAATGTGGACTAATGGCCTTTAATTTAAACAGAAGATCATCGAACTTAATGGCATATGAAGTATTAATTGCAAACAAGAAATTAAACTAAATAAAAATACAGTTGCAATCCCCACCCCCAAAAATATACAAATATTTCCTGGCGTAATTGAATAATTGTGCGACGGCTGCTCAACTTTCTCCATTAAAAATTAAATCACTTTGTGCACTCGAAGCTCCGCCTCGGATGCCAGATAAGATCAAGATCGTTTTGCTAGGTAGGCTGCCCCCTTTTGCGGCGCCTTAAACAAACAGCAATTTGCCGTTTGTCGAGTCTACACCCCGACACATTTGCGTGCCAATGGCGTAATTTACCACTTAACATATCAATTGTGCGGCTATTAATCAAACAAGCCGAGTCCCCATACTTCAGACCAACAGATTCGAGACGATATTCAATCGAGTCCGAATCGAACAGAGCCGAGCCGAGTCGAATCGAGTTGAGCTGAGTTGAGCTGAGTTGCTGTCCAGTTTTCTGGGTGCTTTGATTTGTACGCATCGCTTGTCAAACAACTGAAACAATAGGCGTGGGGCACAAAATGGGGAATCAAAGAAAACAAATGTATGAAATGAAAAAGAAAACAAAATAGGCATAACAAAACTGATTTTTTTCTCTTTATTTTTTTTTTAACTCATATCGTAAATGTCCATCAAATCATAATAAGAGCATAAAAAGTAGAATTTTTTAACACCTTTTTGTATTGCCATCCCCACTTGAGTTCTTTCATTGTTCGGCGCTCGAGACAGTAGCCCCCCTCAGCTCGACTTGGTGCGTTTTGGTTATGGCTTGGCTTGGCTTGACTCATTGGCAGTTAGACATCCACATTCACATCCAAATCGACATCGGGCTGTCCGATGTGGCCAGTCGATAAACGCCTGCTTCTTGGCATTCCTCAATCCTCAATCCTTTATCTCAATCTCAATATGAACCTCAAGCTCAACTATTTCATTCAACTTGTCAGACGACGGCGTCTAATTGCTTTTGTCTGCTCCACTAAGGTGCGCAACATAATTTGTAACGCACTCCAAACACACACATACACACAAACAGCCTAAGTATAACAACTCAATAAACGAAACTCTGTTTCAATTCCTCACAACTGCGTGCCACTTCAAAACACTTAAGCGCCAAAGTATATCTTTGATCTTCAGATCAACTGACCCCACTTGACTGCTGACTTTGCCCAGAAGTTTTCGGTACTTCTTCCACATTCAGTTGCCCGAAAAGCAAGTGACTTGGCTATATTAATGAATGTTGTGATTCAGTAGAATATATAAAATTTCTAGTTACGAAAATTAAATTGGCTGATTAATTCAGAATTTTCAAAATGGTTAATTCAAATATTTATCAAAATTGAATAACAGCCTGAAAGTATGCAAGAAATGTGTAAATAAGTTAAAGTGATTTTGTAGCGAATAGCGTTAGTCACTCGTAGCAGTCAGCTTTGTAACGTAAGCAACTCGCTTACCGCCAACTGCGGTAATATCTGAAATTTTAAAATGTCATTGCTGTCAAATAACCTGCAGTGTAACGATATATTGTCCATCAAAACTCGAATAACTCATATTATATTCATTTACAATATCTTTATAAAAAACAGAACATTTACATCACTAGATAATTGTTTATTATTGTAGTTTCCCTTTTGAATAGCATTTGCACGTACCTAACAGGTTGCTGTATTGGATAAATTTCCCCCAAGCAATTAAAATCGAGGTATACGTTTAGGAACACACAAAAATGCATCTACCTTTTTGTTATACTAAATTCAGGCATTATGGGGATAATCTATGGATCTAATCATTTAGTTTCGTACTGTTAACATCATTTAAAGAGCAAATTATCAGTAATCGATTTAGTTTTGATATAAATCGTCATCCCAAAGTTCTTAAAAATTATTTTAAAGAACGGATTTATTCTCTGTTCACATGTTATGTTATTAATTAATTATGTATTATAGTGTGATAATTTATTAGACCATATATTAATATTTATATTAAAAGTACATTATGAGATTTTAATGCATAAGCTATTATTATAATGTAGACAGGTATTTGAGTTGAGCTATGTCAATTCTATAAAACGCGGTGTTGCAAGAAACATTCAAGCTGTATTATTTTTAAATCATTTATCAAATGAGTCCATTTAGTCACAAAGTAAAATTTGCATTGAGCGAGACAATGAGATTGGGTTGCGCCGAATTGTTACAGAAATTTCCACAGACCTGCATAATTTGTACCATGTTACTGTAAGGTAAACTTCAAACGGTTGCTTCGTCACGTAGCAGTCAGCTTTTCGTTACCACTTTGAAGGACTTTTTAACAGCCTCAACTTGGAGTTTGTTATCACTGCAACTTGAGAGTTACGCTCCCCGATCGATACTATATATAATATACTATATATATATATATATAAATATATATATGTATATATAGTTGATAAAAATGTATACAGAGATGATATACCTTTATGACCGATCAAGTGTAGATTATAAATGCATTAAGAGCTAAAATGTATTTGATTTCATTATAATTCAAATTTAAATGAGTTTATTTGCAATGAACCTATAAAATATGCTGCGATGAATGGGAATTTGAGCAGTCAAATTTTTACCAAATCATGGATTATCACGTTTTGCTATTCATGTTGACAATTTCGACTTTACTGGGCTCAAGCCAGGCCAAGGTTGGCTGATTATTATTAATGTACCGAAAAAGATTTTTGTATAAATCTATTTTCTTTTGTGTACTCTCCCACAGCGTGCTTATATTGTTGAACTCAGGAACTTCAGCTGTGTAGTTAATGATCCTGTGATTGTTGGAAATCTAACATGTATTATCCAGAAGAAGCGATCCAATCCATCCGTATCTACTAGTTTTTTTGTCAAGAAAACTATGAAGAAGGCTTTTATTCAGGTATATGTGGATATCATAAAAAAGGATAAGAGCAAATCAAATATAGGACGCGTCCATCTCGATGCCTGCAAATTGTTAGGCTCTTTCTACAAAGATAGATATGGAATGTTCTTTAAGCGCATTCTAATTGCCAGCAACTTCCCCAAAAAATGTCCGGTTCAGGGCGTAAGTACTTCACCATAATTTTTAATATCATCTATAATAACTTACAAGCATCCACAGAATCGGTCTTATGGAGTCACGAACTATACAATCTTAGCGGATGAGTTTCCCCCGGCAGCGCCTGCAATGACATTTCAAGTGCTGATCAAAATATTAAAACCTAATAACAACTCAATGGTTGATGTCATGCTGGAGGCCGCTTTCATCTATTAAAATCTATGTGTTTAATGTGTAACGTGTAAAATTAAAAATTGCAGTAACAGTTTTTGAGCGAAATGGATATAGTTTGGAGTAAATCAGTGTGGGTTGCGGCAAATTGTTATAGGAATTTGTACTGAGCTGCAGAACAGGTTGAACTTTAAACTGTTGCTTCGTCTCGTAGCAGTCAGCTTTGTTCTTGCAGCATACGCATGATTTTATATCAAATTCGAGGTGTTTTTGAAGAATTTCAACAATTTGGATCCTTACATCTTGAGAGTGCATCTCTTCGATGGCCGGCAACTTCTTTACCGTTGGGTTAATTGACATTATAGGTCACGTCGAGAACAATCTAATTATTAGAAAATGTTATATAAATATACATACTGTATGTGTATAGTATAGTTGATAATATTCCTTGATGACCGAGCAATCAGTCAATCAGCACAAGTTTTTTTTTTATTTTAAAACATGTGCGTAAAGTATCATGTTTTGGTATTTTCTACCTTCAAGGTCATCTATTATTGGGAATTAATTTATATATACATGTTTATATATATAATATATATATATATATATATACTTCATTCAATTTCGGTGGCGACGAATTGAGTTAACACATAGCAACCAGTCTGCAACAGACTACAGGTAACGGTTAATCGTTCATTCCGGTTGTGCTTAAATTATATTAACAAAAACAAAAAACACAACTCATATTTTCTGACCATTAATGTCTATAAATATATATCGATCCGCTCTCAAATTCACATTATTTTTTGAAAGCAACAACAATCATGAAATGCTTATTAAACCCAACATAGGACACGTCCATCTAAATGCTTGCAATTGTAGGCTCATTCTACAACGATAGATGTGGAATTTTCTTTAAGCGCATTCTAATCGCCAGCAACTTCCCCAAAAAAAGTCCGGTTCAGGCCTAAGTATATATATATATATATATATATATATATATATTCATCTAAATAGTTGATAAAACTTCGAACAATGTTGTTATACCTTGATGACCGATCAGCAAGCACAAGTATTATTATACTTGAACACGTGTTGATTAAAAATGCATTAAGGGTTAAAATGTATTTGATTTCATTATAATTCAAATTTAAATGAGTTTATTTATAATAAACCTATAAAATATGTTGCGACGAATGGAAATTTGAACAGTCAAATTTTTACCAAATCATGGATTATCACATTTTGCTATTCATGTTGACATTTTGGACTTTACTGAGCTTCAGCCAGGCTAAGGTAGGCTGATTATTATTATTGTACCGAAAAAGATTTTTGTATAAATATATATATTTCTTTTGTGTACTCTCCCACAGCGTGCTTATATTATTGAACTCAAGAAGTTGAGCTGTGTAGTTAATGATCCTCTGATTGTTGGAAATCTCACATGTATTATCCATAAAAAGCGCTCAGATCCATCCGTGTCTTCTAGTTTTTTTGTCAAGAAAACTATGAAGAAGGGTTTTATTCAGGTATATGTGGATATCATAAAAAAGGATAAGAGCAAATCAAATATAGGACGCGTCTATCTCGATGGCTGCAAATTGTTAAACTCATTCTACAAAGATAGATATGGAATGTTCTTTAAGCGCATTCTAATTGCCAGCAACTTCCCCAAAAAATGTCCAATTCAGGGCGTAAGTACTTCACCATAATTTTTAATATCATCTATAATAAATTACAAGCATCTACAGAATCGGTCTTATGGAGTCACGAACTATACAATCTTAGCGGATGAGTTTCCCCCGGCAGCGCCTGCAATGACACTTCAAATACTGATCAAAATATTAAAACCTAATAACAGCTCAATGGTTGATGTCATGGTAGAGGGCGCTTTCGTCTATTAAAATCGATATAAGTTTAATGTGTTAAAAATAGATGAGTTAAGATTAAGAAATAACCGATCTAGCTTGTGTAATAAAGTTTACATTAACGGAGACAGTGAGTTTTGGGTGTTGCTGCAAAGTAAACTTCAAACGGCTGCTTCGTCAAGTAGCAGTCAACTTTTCATTAACGATTTAAAGGACTTTTTAACATCCGCAACTTTAAGTTTGTTATCCTTGCAACTTGAGAGTTACGCTCCCCGATATATATACATATATATATTCATATAAATAGTTGATAAAACTTCGAACAGTGTTGTTATACCTTGATGACCGATCAGCAAGCACAAGTATTATTATACTTGAACACGTGTTGATTAAAAATGCATTAAGGGTTAAAATGTATTTGATTTCATTATAATTCAAATTTAAATGAGTTTATTTATAATAAACCTATAAAATTGTTGCGACGAATGGAAATTTGAGCAGTCAAAGTTTTACCAAAACATGGATTATCACGCTTTGCTCTTCATGTTGACATTTTGGACTTTACTGGACTTAAGCCAGGCCAAGGTGGGTTGATTTTTATTATTATACCGAAAAAGATTTTTGTATAAATATATGTTGTTTGTACACTCCCACAGCGAGGTTATATTGTTGAGCTCAAGAACTTCAGCTGCGTATCTAATGATCCTGTTGTTCGAAATCTGACATGTATTATCCACAAAAAGCGCTCAGATCCATCCCTATCTGCTAGTTATTTTCTCAAGGAAACTGTGAAGAAGTTTGTTATTCAGATATATGTGGATATCGTAAAAAAGGATAAAAGAAAAGCAAACATAGGACGCGTCCATCTCGATGCCTGCAAATTGTTAAGCTCATTCTACAAAGATAGATATGGAATGTTCTTTAAGCGCATTTTAATCGCCAGTACCTTTCCCAAAAAATGTCCGGTTCAGGGCGTAAGTACTTCACTATAATTTTTAATATCATCAATAATAGCTTACAAGCATCTACAGAATCGATCTTATGCAATCACGAACTATACAATCTTAGCGGATGAGTTTCCCCCGGCAGCGCCTGCAATGACATTTCAAGTGCTGATCAAAATATTAAAACCTAATAACAACTCACTGGTTGATGTCATGGTAGAGGCCGCTTTCATCTATTAAAATCGATGTGTTTAATGTGTGACGTGTAAAATTAAAAATTGCGGTAACAGTTTTTGAGCGAAATGGATATAGTTTGGAGTAAATCAGTTGCCCGATGCCCGGCCACTTCTTTTCCGTTGGGTTAATTGACATTATAGGTCACGTCGAGAACAATCTAATTATTAGAAAATGTTATATAAATATACATACTGTATGTGTATAGTATAGTTGATAATATTCCTTGATGACCGAGCAATCAGTCAATCAGCACAAACATTATTAGTTACTATCATAAATTATAAAAATGCATTAAGAGCCCAATTGTGTGAATATACATTTAAAATGGTGAATATTCCATTATAATTTCTCTTAATTTTAGTTTACAGTTGAAAAATCTGAATCTACTGGACCCAAGTCAGGCCATGGTAGGCGATTAGTAATCAAATATACCCGTAAAACATGATTTTCCTAATAAGCTTATACATAAACCTATATATAATTCAATACTCTATCTATATCCAATTAATTTACCGTAGAACAAGCTCAATCCAATAAGAAACTATACATTGATGTATCATGTGCGACTAAAAGTAATGAAAGCTGATCAAATTCTTGGTATTTTCAACCTTCAAGGTCGTCTATTATTGGGAATTAAATTTTTTATTTTTGGTGATATCTGCTTCATTAAATTTCGGTGGCGGCGAATTGAGTTAACACGTAGCAACCAGCCTGCAACAGACAACAGGTAACGGTTATTCGTTGCATAGCAGTCAGCCTTGCAGCACAGCTCGTTTTCCGGTTGTGCTTAAATTATATTAACAAAAACCAAAAACACAACTCATATTTTCTGGCCAGTTATGTGTATATATATATATATATTTCGATGCTTTTTCAAATTCGCATTATTTTTTGAAAGCAACAACAATCATAAAATGTTTTAAGTTTATTGTTTAGGTATTTGTTTGTTTTTGTGTTGTTTTTTTTTGTCGTCAGTTTAGGAATAAGTATTTGCAATATATAATACATTATGTATGCGTACATTTTGTTAAAAACAATAAAGTAACAAATGTCTTAGGGATTACACACAATAGTTTATTTTACCATACCCTAGTATGTATGCTTGCATGTATATATATATATTGTTGTATGTATATGTATTTGTTGTTTATTATCATATTTATAATAGCCACATTTCACAGAATTAAGCATTACTATCTGTACAAGAATTGCATTTATGAGAAAAAGGGACGTTTATATGGCTTGCGTGGTGCCTACATCTTCCAAGATGATGCTGCAAAACAGATTGAATAATTAACAAATAAATCAGAAGAAGAACATTATACAAGTTAAAGACAATAAACTTACAGTCGTTTTCTCAACGATTTTCGCTTTCTGCGCAGCTTTTTGTATGTAAATTTGCTCGGTGAGATTTTGTAGTCTTCATCGAATTCCAATTCGAGCTTAATTAGATTTTGCAAATTCAATTGGCAGTCCTTCGACAATAAATATAATTTTAAAATTATATAAAACTTAGAATTTTGAGAAATATGGTATGCAACTTACCTCTAAGTTCTTGAAATGCCAACGCGAATCACTCGGCGAGGCGCCATCGCTGGACAACTGACTAAGACAGGTGCGCATTGTGGGCCAACATTGGCAGCGTTTGTTGGTTATCTCACAGCCCGGCTCTAACACGATGAACTCATCCGCCGTGCAATTGCTGAGCTGGCTAAATGTGAGCGCCGTCAGATGTTGCAGGTCTGCCAAAAACCAATAAAAATTATTTATGACTCATATGGTTGATAAAACAAGCAAGCGTGACCAAGAAGTGCAGCCTCGACCAGCAGACACCCTTATATCTACATGTGTAGTTTTATCATATTATATTTTTGGTACTTAATCAATATATAGGCAAGCAAAATTATATTTATCATATTAGTTATATTTAGAATTATGATTAAGTTTAAGAAAAAGCTATTCAAATTTGAGGCTCCTAAATAGTTTACACAATTGGAGTGCTGAACTGTCGATGTTGATAACCAAAATATATAAATAAACTAATACTTTCCGGTTTAGAAGTTCTCTCTATATAGGCCCTGAGATATATACATATGTATGTATGTATATACAGCTATTCGTTCATCAACTTCAATCCACCCTTTTGGGCACTTTTAATCTTTTGAGGGTATAATAATTAATTTTAGTGTTGCTCTAAAAATGAATATTAATACATAAATTGAAAATTCATTAGCTACGCCTAAGTGAAATTGAGTACGATCTCATTATAATAATTAATTTTAATGAGTTTATTTACATCCAAAATTGTATCTAGTTTTGTCATTATATAAAATGCTCTGCAGGCGAATTAAATTTGTTGAATTCTCGCTACTAAATCATGGATTATCGCGCTTTCCTGTGCCAGTTTGACTTTACTGTACTTTGCTGTACTTAGCTGTACTCTAATCGTGGCCAGGTAAGCGGCTTATGGTGTCCTGCTTTTACACATACTTTTATATATATATATATGTATTTTGATACATATTTTATTTAATGGCTAATCCACCCAAGAGCCCTTAGAGTCAAACTAAACAACTTCACCTGAATAAACATCATTACTTCGATCGTGGCTGAGTTCAGCTGCATTATACAAAGGAATAGCAAATCAAGCAACCAACCCTACACTTGCCATCCAATTAAAATGTCCACGTTGTGCAAACGGATAAAAGCAAAACGATTTTAACTGAACACAAACTCAATGACTGGCAGCATTTCAAGTTATTATGCAACAAAAATATTTATGGAAAGCAATGTGCCCGAAAGACATTCAATTCTTAGTAAAGCCTTATTTTCAAAATCACTAATAATACACCAGTTACTATCAAGAAAATGAACAATCCTTTCGGATTAATACCTGGTCACATATATTAATTGGAATATTTTGAAATTAGTTGCCAAAACATAAAAGTTTTTAAGTTTTCATAGCTTTTATTTCAAATTTTAAAAGTCTAAAATATAGCTTAAAGTGAATCGAGCTCATAAGTCAAAAAGTACTTTAGCCATGGGGCTAATATGCAATTTTCAAAATAAATCCATGCAATATATGTATGTAAAAAATGCTACTTGATGTATGGAGTTAATTTGCATTCGAGACTTACCCATGCACACACCCAGACCGCTGCTAATGGGCAGTTTGGTGACACACTGCAGGGGTGGTTCGCATTGTCCGGAAAAGCCGCCGGGTCCTCCGCAGGATTCGCCCAAGGTTTTGGCGCAAATGCGACAGCATCTGAACATTGAATGGAATTACAGTAAATGTGAATGTGAAGCACACATCAAATTTATGATATATAATAGTGTGTGTGTGTATTAGGTATATAACTTACTGGCAGGGATCCCAGAGCATGAGGCCCTTGCCGGGGCAGTCTAGGGCGCGTATGACATCGCATTCCTTGGGATTGCAGTAGCATTTGAGTCCGTTAACAACATTGTTGCTGCCAGCTGCTGCTATTATCAGCAGAAGATAGCAGCACAAATAGATGAGATAGATCCGTACGCTTAAACGACCAAAATAACTTCCGTTCCGTCGCATCCTATGCGGAAGTTTCGCTCTGTTGTTCTGTTTGACTGACGTTTCGCCTGCTGCTACAGCTCCACCTCCTGCTGCTGCTACTGCTCCTGCTGTTGCTGTTGCTATTGCTGTTGCTGTTGTTGTTGTTGTCCTCCGCTTTGTTGGTGTCCTTGTGCGTAGAACTGTATTCATGCCATTGGCTTTGGCTACACCCACTGCGACAGCACCACCTCTATTCCATCCACCCCGTCCACCATCCGCTTGTGCTCTTCCGCCCATTTATAGGCAATTTTTATTGTGTTGCTCGCCTGTGTTGTGTTGTTGGGTTGTTGTTGCTGTTGTTGGGTCGGTCGGGTTTGGTTTCTGGGTCTGTTTGGCTGCTCGCCCAGCAATTTGCATGTTGACTGCAAACCAAAGCGTTGTTAAATGATTAAAATGCCATAAACTATGCCACGCCTAGTGGCCAAGGCTTTAATGGGCTTTTACATAACTGCCGCATGAATTTCGGGCAAACAACAGTCAGCCTAATTTTACCGCATTACGCCTAGCAGCATAACTTCTGTTTTCCCCCTTCCCTTCCCCTTTCCCTTTCCCTACCCCACCATACCTCCACAACCAACAGTCATTGTGCTTGGCGGTGCATAATAAAATAGCCACATTCTGTATTCATGAGAAGGCCTGCTCTGCCATTTTACCGAATTCATTGTTTACAATAATAGTAAGTAAGTTCGCACATACACACACACATACATATATACATTTTATTTATGAATAATGTACCTCAATAATTGCATGCATTTCGCTTCTTGTGTAAAACTTAAGTTGTACATGAAATCGTTATAAATATTCAAGTTGAATGCTTTCGATTCCATTCTCATACTCATGTTTTAATTAATTTGGTAGGCAAATTGAAACGACGCTTAAGTAGCATATTTAATAAGTAGCAACAGTTAATTTAATTGTAATTACTTTTAGTCATTGTTAAATATCATTTGATATTTTATACTTATAATTTATAATAACAACATTAATACCTTTCAATCCCAGCATGAAACTGTTTAATTCATACTTCAGTCGCATTCTTAACTTTTCAATTATTCATTTTATTAATAATGACAGCATTAACACCATTCATTCCCAGCCTTTCGCATTTGAGTCGCATTTTTATGTTTGCAATGAATTTATTCATATATATATAAGTATATATATTTATTTAAATTGCTATCATCTTTTTCAATTGAATTTCGAAATCAATTGCGCAAATTGTCATTTAAAATTGCTCTTCAGATCCAAAATGGTTAATGCAATTTTTGCGGAATTCAATTAATTCCATTCGAATAAATGACTGAAATTTCATTTGCACATGACAAACATTGCAGTATTGTTGTGGCAATTGATGTGTGCAAACCCACACACACACACACACATAGCAGCAACACACCTAACCATTCGCCAAGCTTTGGGCCTGAAACAAAAATAAGAGCTATTTGTTATGCAAAGTTAACTCACTGTTGATGTTGAGTAACTTTTTTGTAGTTTCAATGTTTGTTGATTGCCAAACAAGAGTTTAGAAATAATATCTAATTCTGTAATAGAGAAACTGAAACTTGAGTTTTTTTTATGGTAAGCGCCTCAAAGTATGCAATTTGAAAAGTTGTCACAGCAAAGGGTAAACTGTGTTCGAGAATGCCATCCATACAGAACAAAACTAATTTGTATTTAACGATTCAATGATACTTGAGGCCGTTTCAGGGCCGTTTCCGTTGGCAGTCGGCAGTCGATAGTCGACGACAGTCAGTCGATTGGCGAGTGGCAAAATAATCAACATTTGCTCTTTGTCTTCCATGGTTTATGTACTAAGCCATTTATATATACACCCAGACTATATATGTATACAGATATTTATTTGTATTTAGTGTATTTGTGGAGAGCAAAACACTTTCGTATTTGGATTGCCCCTTACAAACCACACACACACACACACAAACACACACACTTGAAATATTGTCCCATTTATTGGCTGGTTGTTGTTGTTGTTATTCTTGTTTTTGTTGGTTTATTTTTCTGTTTTTTTCCACCAGTCGTTTGTCAAGCACTTTTCGATTTGGTATTCAATTTTGATGTCGACTTTTTGAGTGGATCTTTTCTTTTGTTTTATTTATTTTTTAGGAAACTACATAAAATATACGTGAAGTTTACGGTTAGCCGCACACTCCACCAAAAACACACGCAGCAAAAAACACACCTTGCAGCTGAGCTTTTATTTCTTGTTGGTTGGACTAGGTAACAGGCTCTAGTATGTTTGGGGCTATTTGAAAGCCGCTCAACGTTCGATTCGACGTTGTTGATACTGATGATGATGATGATGATGGTGTTAATAATGACGACGATTCTCCCTTATGAATTTTTCATGCGCTTTTGTCTGCCGCACTCGGCCATTTGTGGCAGTCGACTGACTAACTTAAATCGAACCAAACCAAACACCTTTTGCCAGTTAGTCCTGCTGACATCGGGGATATTTGCGCCAAAAATACCCAAATGTATATCACAAATTTCCCCGTATTTCTTTCGCATTCATTCTCTGAGCGCCGGCGCATTAATTGAGATCTCAATGTTTTGGGCTGGGATATTTTGCGGTTTAGGGAGCCTGGAAGGTAATATTATCAGACGGGCAGCGGATGCAAAGCATTTCCCTCGAAATATAAGTCATTTGGTTATTGTAATTACAATGGCATAAAGCGCAGGAAGACGCAGCTTTAGGCACATCACACACACACACACACACCCACACCCACACACATACATATGTATATGTGTATTTATAGTACATATTTATATCTTCATCTCTATAGTGCCTAGAGCCCTTCTCATCCCTCCGATTGGGCTAATGGGCAATTACGAGTGTAAAATCTCATGCTTTATAAACTTTGACGCCGTGTCAGCTGCTAATAAGCATTCCAAATGCCATAAAAGCCGCATGGACAACACCGACGACCCTGGGACATTGAGGAAACATCAGATGAGCACATTCAATTTAACGGGGGGCGGTCAGGGCGGACTTAGTGCTGCCCACTTACCGCACAGCCCGCACAGCAACTTGCAACTTTTCCAATTAGCGGAAAAAAAAAAAGAAAAAGTGGAAAACAGACGTTCGAGTCATCTCGAGTCCAAGTTGGCATTGGGCTTTGGCTCTTGGTCTTTGGGGGCTTCTTGGCCACAGCAAATGTTGCGTAAAACAACTTGCCGATGCGGGCTACTGGTTTTGACTCTTCACACACACACACATACCCCTTCCCCCTCCGACCACTCGCTTTGGTAACCCATTTCTGACTTTTCGCAATTGAACAAAAGAGCAATCGGGAATTATGAGTGAAGCAAACTTTTTCTTTTTTAACAACAATAGCAACGAACCCCAACGCAAATACCCAATAAAAATATATAGACACACATAAATACATATATATCAAATGTATATATGTAGAGTAAAGTTTCAGCACAAATTGATAGGGTGCAAAATAATGTGCAACAATACTTTGGGGCGTGGTGCGGCAGAATGTCTTTTCTGAATGCGCATTTCAACTTGCATAAACTCCGATTATTTATTAATACTTTATTCGCACATTCGGCTGTCGGCAGTCGGCGAAACTTTTGCCTCAAGTTCTCAATTGTTGTTTTTACTTTTTTTTTACTCACATTTCTTCATTGCTTTACAACTTTTTGATGACAGTTTTATTGGCCATTTTTTCTTGAAAAAATAAAAATAAAAAAAAGAGCGCACATTTCTCTGCTGTGAGTCGGTGGTGGTGAAGGGAAAATATTACAAAATTATGGTCTATTTTTCATAGACTTTAAGTGGCTTGATTAAAAAAGAACAAGCTCCTTTTGGTGGCTTGGGGCGTGTACAATTTATAATTGCTAATTGGGGGGATAAAAAATAACATGGCCATTCCTAAATGCAGATTAAATTTTGTGAGCTTAATTTTTTTCCCATTTGTCTGCATTTTGATTCTGAACACGGAACACAACATGTTCAACATACAATTTCTAGTTAAGCTTTAGGGGAACGACAAAAGAAAAGGCAAATATTGGGTTTTTATTAAAGAAAAGCAGCTTTTCTCCTGTTGCCAGAATGAGAATTATTTTGTTATTTCTCGTTAGCATCAAATTTAAAAGTGTTTTTTGAAAGACATTGCTTTGGGTATCATAAATGTATTAGTGCAGTTTGGTATTCTACGTTCGATACTTGTTGTTTATTGTGCTAGAAGTCTTTACTTATTATTTAAGCCTAACGAATTTTAAGCTTAGATTAAATCAATTATACGAAGGAGATGATAAATAAATGCACACGATTTGAATTTAAGGATTAGTTTCAACAATGCTTTGCTTAAATGTTAAATGCATAATAAATATTGACGATTAGAATTGAAAGAATACTTTCACATGTTAAGGAGATGAAATTAAAAATATATGGACATGTTATCGATTAGAATATAAATACCAAATTTCAATCATTTTTCAATACTATACATAAAATTTGTTATGGTTAAATGAGTTTGATTTACTTCAATTTAATTTCTCAATTTTTAACATTTATAATAAAGAGATTTTTGTTTAATTTTAAACGAATACTTATTGACTTCATTTACTATACCCATTTATATCTATTCAATCCATATTCCACTCATTAATTAAAAATCCTTTCAAATTGATTGAGACCTGTCATTTTATGTTTTCCGCTTCTACTTGACATTTATTCATTGACCTTATTTGCCACAATTTGAACTGTGTGCTCATTATTTTAACCACCAAGCATACAACATTTAATGAGACTCCCTAGAAGCTGTACAACACTCAGGGGTGAGTAGCGATCCTTCGCGTAGCCAGATCGACGTTGTTCGCATTTAGCGCACATTCGCGAAAAGAACATTTGAATTACAAATTAAGCCGAGCATAAAGCCAAACCAATTTGCGACTACCCAAATAATTTATTTTAACAATTTTTGTTTTCAAGGGATTTACGC